CGGTTCAATCCCCCAGCACCACATGCCAGCCAGCCCCGCCCCCTGGTGGGCTGAGCTGGCCACACACACACACACACACACACACTCACAAATAAATAAATAAAATTTTAAAAAAACTATTAAAATGTTAATTAAATATGATGAAACTGAAATGAAACTTTTTGATGGCAAAGAGTTTTTCACTGCAGAGACAACAGGATGGTTGGGAATGAAAGAATGAATGTTACGGAACTAGTCATACAAAAACCTTGAGCAAATAATCAAGTAGTCATCAATGTGGAAGTATATAACATGGTATGGTACTACTACTGTGAATCTCAAATCCCAAACAACTCTAAATTGTCCTCTAAAGACACTGATATTAAACTTAAATGTTATTTAAGCAGGACTGTCACATTACAAGAAAAATATAGTTCATAGCACAAATACATTAAACATAAAATGTTGATAGTATATAAGTATATACTAAGACCTGTTAGTGCAACACATATTACGCCAAGTATAACCAGTTACACTAAAAACAAAATGATAAAAACTCACTCACTGTCTTCTGTGGGAAGAACCTGCAGGGAGTAAATCCATTCTATTATATCATCTTTGTTCACCACATCTAAGGAATCCAACATATCTAGCCCAGAGAGTGCAAAAAACGCAATTGTCAACCTAAAAGAAAAAAAAAAAATGTAAAAGACATTTTAAATGTTGAATCACTGAACTCCTTTAATAACAAATCCACTCTACTTTAACAATAATTTAAACAAACTACCACCTTGGCAATGCCAATCCCCACAATTCTTCAAATGTAAAAATACTTTGAAACCTAAGAAACATTTGGGGGCTAAGAAACCAATACTATTCAATTGAAGCACTCATAAATTCACCAAAGCCAACATAGAATCACCCTAATTTCAAATATAGAATTTCTTACATTTCATCAGTAACAAGCCAAGCAAAAATTACAGTACTCTGAGAAAAGAGACAGAAGATAATTTCAGAAAATAGATATTCTTTACTCATAGATAGGAAGAACCAATATTGGGTAACTGGCCATAATGCCAAAATTGTTATACAGATTCAATGCAATCCTAATTAAACTACCATTAGCATACCTAACAGATCTAGAGAAAACATTCCTAAAATTCATCTGGAACGAGAAGAAACCTAGAATAGAAAAACCAATCCTAAGTAACAAAGGAAAGGCAGGAGTCAGCACAATTCCCTACTTGAAAGTACACTACTACAAAGCTAATGTGATAAAATCAGCATAGTCCTGGCAAAAAATAAAAACAGACCTGAGGATCAATTGAACAGATCAGAAGATACAGACACAACTACAAACACACTCAGCCACTTTACCTTTAATGAAGGGGTCATCCCTGGTACCACAAAACAAAACAAAAACACCAAAGGGGTCAAACATGTTCATTGGAACAGTGCCTCTTTAATAAATAGTAGTAGAAAACCTACCTTTCCACCTGCCAAAGTCTTTTTTGTTTTTTGTGGAACCGGGGATTGAACTCAGGCCCTAGTGCTTGCCAGGCAAGCGCTTATTCTACTGAGCCATCTCCCCGGCCCAAAGTCTTAAAATATATCCATGCCTATCACAATGCACAAAACTACAGTCAACATGCATCAAAGATATTTAAATATTAAAAGTGAAACTAAATCTTCTGGAAGAGAAAACAGGTAGAAATCTTAAAAGACACAGGGGCAGGTAGAGCGTTCACGAACAAAAATCAACCTGCATGGGAAATACTTGAAAGAATCCACAACTGGGATCTCATCTTTTTTTAAAGTTTCTGCACATGAAAAGAAATCACCAACAAAGTAAAAATAAAACCTACAAACTGGAAAACAATTCTAGCGGACTGTCCTTCAGAAAAAGGACTCCTATCAGGAACATATAAAGAATTTAAAAAATCAGGCCCCCTCAATTCAAAGACCCAATCCAAAAATGGGTATCTGAGATGAATATACACCTCATAGATGAAGAAATACGAACAGCAAATAAATACATTAAAACATCACTGATCATTTGAGAAATGCAAATTAATACCACACTTGAGATTCCAGTTCACCCCAGAAAATATTGCTATTATCAAGAAGTCAACCCATAACAAATGTTGGAGGGACTGTAACACAAAAAGGAACACTTCTCCAATGTTGGTGGGATTGTACACTGTTACATTTCCATTATTTGAGAAATCAGTGTGGCGATTCCTCAAAAAAACTAGATTGGCAGAACTGAAAACATCATACCACAGCAATATATGTGCATGCATGTTAAAGCAGCACAATATGTCATAGCTAAACCTTGGCAACAACACAAATGCCCATCAACTGAGGAATAAAGATGTCGTATTTACATACAATGGAAGCTTACTCAGCTAGAAAAAAAGGATAAATGTGAGGCTTTTATTTGTAAATGGATGCAACTAGAGACCATACTTATAATTGAAATAAATCATACCTGCATGAGCAAGCATCGTATTGTCTCACTAGCATAAGAACCTAGAAGAGTAAATACAATCCGAAAGGTATAATATATCCTGTAAAAAGGGCAAAAAATCTGTTTAAAGGGAAGGAAATACAGGAAGACAGGAGATGGAGGAGGGGAAAGAGATATATCTATATATGTATGCAGAATGGTTTAGATAATTGTACTATTGATTTCTGTTGGGCCATTAACAAGGAGCAGTTAATCCTTACATGTTTTTTTCTCTTCTTAATCTCATAATTTTCCTCCAATTTTGCATCCATATATCTGGTAATCTAAACAACTAATTTAAAGAAAACATTATGCAATACAACAAAGAGTCAAATTCTTACTACTTTATTGAAA